CAATACTATCTGACATTTTCTTTCAAACGAAACTTAAGCTGATAATTGCAAATTCGAAAAAAGAAAAACAAGAACAAACCAATTGTAGAATTGTATTCAAATAATTGTTAAAAACATATATCTCTCTTTTATCTTTTTGTGTATTATTACTCCTACCGATGCTAACTTGAACTAGATGCCCATCGAGACTTCTTACATATGAATGAAGATAATTAGACCATATATTCCTTTTCAACTGAACGTCAATGTTTCTATTTGATATTGCTTGGTGAGTTTTTAAGCCCATACTTTTAGTTTTCTGACATTTCTTTCCAACGAAACGTGTGCTAATAATTGCAAATACGAAAAAAGAAAAACAAGAACCAACCAGTTCTATAATTGTATTCAAATAATAGTTAAAAACATGTCTCTCTCTCTTTTATCTTTTTGTGTATTATTACTCCTACCGATGCTAACTTGAACTAGATGCCCATCGAGACTTCTTACATATGAATGAAGATAATTAGACCATATATTCCTTTTCAACTGAACGTCAATATTTCAATTATTTCTTTGCATAATAAGTTTGTAAGACAATACTATCTGACATTTTCTTTCAAACGAAACTTAAGCTGATAATTGCAAAATCGAAAAAAGAAAAACAAGAACAAACCAGTTGTAGAATTGTATTCAAATCATTGTTAAAAACATATCTCTCTCTTTTATCTTTTTGTGTATTATTACTCCTACCGATGCTAACTTGAACTAGATGCCCATCGAGACTTCTTACATATGAATGAAGATAATTAGACCAAATATTCCTTTTCACTGAACGTCAATATTTCAATTATTTCTTTGCATAATGAGTTTGTAAGACAATACTATCTGACATTTTCTTTCAAACGAAACTTTAAGCTGATAATTGTAAATTCGAAAAAAGAAAAACAAGAACAAACCAGTTGTAGAATTGTATTCAAATAATTGTTAAAAACATATCTCTCTCTTTTATCTTTTTGTGTATTATTACTCCTACCGATGCTAACTTGAACTAGATGCCCATCGAGACTTCTTACATACATATGAATGAAGATAATTAGACCAAATATTCCTTTTCAACTGAACGTCAATATTTCAATTTCCTCTTTGCATAACAAGTTTGTAAGACAATACTATCTGACATTTTCTTTCAAACGAAACTTAAGCTGATAATTGCAAAATCGAAAAAAAAGAAAAACAAGAACAAACCAGTTGTAGAATTGTATTCAAATCATTGTTAAAAACATATCTCTCTCTTTTATCTTTTTGTGTATTATTACTCCTACCGATGCTAACTTGAACTAGATGCCCATCGAGACTTCTTACATATGAATGAAGATAATTAGACCAAATATTCCTTTTCACTGAACGTCAATATTTCAATTATTTGTTTGCATAATGAGTTTGTAAGACAATACTATCTGACATTTTCTTTCAAACGAAACTTAAGCTGATAATTGCAAAATCGAAAAAGAAAAACAAGAACAAACCAGTTGTAGAATTGTATTCAAATCATTGTTAAAAACATATCTCTCTCTTTTATCTTTTTGTGTATTATTACTCCTACCGATGCTAACTTGAACTAGATGCCCATCGAGACTTCTTACATATGAATGAAGATAATTAGACCAAATATTCCTTTTCAACTGAACGTCAATATTTCAATTTCCTCTTTGCATAACAAGTTTGTAAGACAATACTATCTGACATTTTCTTTCAAACGAAACTTTAAGCTGATAATTGTAAATTCGAAAAAAGAAAAACAAGAACAAACCAGTTGTAGAATTGTATTCAAATAATTGTTAAAAACATATCTCTCTCTTTTATCTTTTTGTGTATTATTACTCCTACCGATGCTAACTTGAACTAGATGCCCATCGAGACCTCTTACATATGAATGAAGATAATTAGACCAAATATTCCTTTTCACTGAAAGTCAATATTTCAATTATTTCTTTGCATAATGAGTTTGTAAGACAATACTATCTGACATTTTCTTTCAAACGAAACTTTAAGCTGATAATTGTAAATTCGAAAAAAGAAAAACAAGAACAAACCAGTTGTAGAATTGTATTCAAATCATTGTTAAAAACATATCTCTCTCTTTTATCTTTTTGTGTATTATTACTCCTACCGATGCTAACTTGAACTAGATGCCCATCGAGACTTCTTACATATGAATGAAGATAATTAGACCAAATATTCCTTTTCAACTGAACGTCAATATTTCAATTTCCTCTTTGCATAACAAGTTTGTAAGACAATACTATCTGACATTTTCTTTCAAACGAAACTTAAGCTGATAATTGCAAATTCGAAAAAAGAAAAACAAGAACCAACCAATATTAGAATTGTATTCTAATAATTGTTAAAAACATATCTCTCTCTTTTATCTTTTTGTGTATTATTACTCCTACCGACGCTGACTTGAAACAGATGCCCATCCAGTCCATACAAATGATGAAAAAAATTAAACCAATAATTTAAATTAATATTATGTTAAAATAAAATGTTAAAAAAATCTTACAAACGAAATGTGTCCTTCTTCATGGTAAAATAACACCAATTGATATTTTATTAATATAATTGGTAACACAAATTTCAAAGTTACACAAAAATCAAGAACGATCAACTTAGGAAAACCTTGAATTTGATAATTAATATAGAACGAAATTAAAATAAAAAACAATCTACTATAGAAAACACTAGAAAATCCTTGAATAATAACCTCACTTTGAAATAAAGAAATATCTCGTCACTATTTTTATACTGGACATAAAGACGACTTACTCCTACAGAGTACTGAAGTGAACTGGCCAAGGAATCCAGCAACATGACCGGACCGATGAATAGAGCGGGACAATAAATATCCTTTACAACAAAGAAATCATTTACTAATGATTCCTTATCCTTTGTTTGCAATATTCTATTGTACATCGAATATGGTCATAACCATAAAACCAAAAAAACCTTGTTAAAGACAAATTTAAAAGAAACAATAGCATGGTATTTGTTTAGGCTGCATATGATTGTTCTGTTGCCTTATAGTTATAAATAGAAAATATATACTCTAGAATCAAATATGGTGGAAAATACAAGGAAGTTTATAGTTAAACAAAGTAGTTAGTTAGTTAGTTAAATAAAGTTCGAGTTTTATTCTCATCAATCTCGAACTTATTCAACATTTTTAAAGCATTTTGAAAATTTATTTAATAACAACGTGTTATTTTATTATGTTACTGTATCTTACCTATACAGTATTTGTAACACATTTTGTGTATATTTTAAGACCTAATCTTGCTAATATTTTCTACAGTGAATTTTTAATGACAACAATAATTTCAATATTGAAGATTTTGTTACACAATTAAATCTAAGTTTGGAAGAATTCCAGATTTATTTATCTAGCGAGTATATATACTAATAAATAAAATAATTGTATATGCCTACAATATTCTATATTTAAAAACAGAATGAAATTACCAACAACAAATTTAGGGCTCGACAATAAATAAAAAAAAACAATAGTTTCATTTGAAGACTTAAGTTTAAATTAATATATTGTTAAAATAAAATGTTTAAACAGAACTTACAAACGAAATGTCTGCCTCATGGTAAAATATCACAAATTGTAATTTTATTTCTAGAATATGTATTTAAAAAAAATCTAAGTATATATGCCAGTTGTCTAGTACCCATAACACAAGCTCAGCTTAGCTTGGAACTAGATGGCGCTGTGTGAATTGTCCTGAGATAATATTGTTAATCTGACTAATATTATGAACACGAAAGTTTGTGAGTATGTATATACAGATGGATGTTTGTTACTCTTTCACGCAAAAATTACTGAATGGATTTTAATGAAATTTTACATACATATCTTATACATCAGAATAACTGTTAATTTCACGCGCGTGAAACCGCGGGTACATCTAGTGTTATATATTATCAATATAAAAAACTAGCTGTACGCGCGACTTTCTCCGCGTGGAAATTTGCAACATTACTATATTTTTCTAAAATAAAAGTTGATGTAATAAGGAGTAACTTAGGCTAAGTTACTCCTTATTACATAAGTTATCTGCCAATAAAAATCCCGCCAAAATCGGTCCAGCTATTTCAGAGATTAGCCGGAACAAACAGACAGACAGACAAAAATTGTTAACGTATTTATATTCATATGCATGTAGTAAAAAACGGTTATTTCAAAATTACAAACAGATACTCCAATTTTATTTATATGTATAGATAACTGCATTTATATTTATTTAAATTTTTAGCCTGTTAATCTACTTTAGAATAGAATAGAAAATTATTTTTTCAAATAAACTTGCATTGAAGCACTTTTGAGTAGTTATTACTTATTTTTTAAATCTACCGCTTATGCGGATATTTTTCTCATCACAAGAACGAGCAAGAAACTTGCGTGTAGCTCTTTTAAATAAATAAACTTAATTATAACTGGTACGAAGTCCTCAAATAAAATTTATTTTAGATTAATATTAATATTACTTTATTTCTAATTTTACATTAAAATAGCCTACATTAATCTAAAATGTATAATACTATGTTATGTTACTATGTTACTAATGTTATACAGCAAAAACTGCTGGTAATGAGTGTTTACCAAAAATCTAGAACAAACACTCCATTGTTAGACTATTTTTTATCTATGCTTATATAAAAGCCCAATTTACACTCAGCCCGAGTGGGCAGGGAAATGAGCACGGAAGGTAACAGCGCGAGAGTGTAAACACGATACTTACCATGCCATTGGCTCTGCCACTCTGCACGGCGCTCCCTTGATTGTCGGTTTTTCCGTGTGCGACTCAAAGGACTGGCAGCGCGAGTGGCAGCTTGTGTTTACATTCAGCCCTCTCGCTCCGTTGTCGCCCGGCGTTGTATGCGGAAGGTAAGGAAGAGTCGCCCGGTAAATAAGTATGAGGGCTGAGTATAAATGACACTCGCGTCGACGCTGACGCGGCAATATTTCCGGAAGCGCGAGTGGCAGGGGAAGCGGCTGAATGTAAACGTAACATTACACTACACAGTGGACCCGCGGTAATCCGGCCCCTCTTGTAATCCGACATGGTCTATTTTTTTTTTTGACAATCTTCACTAATGCTTGATTGGACAAATTTGAACAAGTTTGATTGTACGCATTACCACTGTTGGACGCGACGCGTAGGGTATTGTTTTGATTACTTTAGGGAAAAAAAATTATAATGTAAAAACTTGACGTTCATAAGCGGCTAAAATGTCCTACATGAATAAATTATTTTTGAATTTGAATTTGATTATGATTGCTTAGTTTGAATTTGACTACTCGCATGTGATGAAGATAGCATGTGTTCATTGTTTACCGTTTATTCATTGTGTATCAGCTCAGAAGCGAAAGCACAAAACACCGACAATTAAAGAAAAATGTGATATTTTAGACCATCTAAATCATAACGGGCAGATCTCCATGTCGGATTTCCTCATGAAAAAAAAGGGGTTGTTACTAGAGATGAAACGGATATCCGGTAACTATCCGGTATCCGACCTATCCGACCGAACTGGACGGTAGGGAAAAAATTATAATGTAAAAACTTGACGTTATTAAGCGGCTAAAATGTGTGAATAAATGATGAATAAATGATTTTTTAATTTAAATTTGAATTTGAAACTGAGTAAAAAAAAATTTTTTTTAGTAATTATTTAGTTAGTCTTACTATTATTTAAGGAATAAATTTAGTTTTAGTTTTATATTTTTTATCACTCAATAGTAAATGAATGTTATAGAAACAAAATGAATTTATTAGTTAGATAAGTTCCGCCGGATATCCGGCCAAACTGCTATCCGTTTCATCGCTAGTTGTTACCCTGTGAAATGATGCCGAGGTAAGGGCAGCTCACCACGAAGCCGCAATATCTACCCCCCTATGAGGAAGCAGAAAACCAGTGACAGTCACATGATAACGTCATTTCTGTGGTACTGTTCATATATAGGTGATCACTTACCATCAGGCTGGCCGTCAGTTTGCCATTCCAATTTTACAAAAAAAATGATAACGTCATTTCTGTGTATATGTATATATATGTGTATACATATATGTATAGGTGACGGGACCACTTACCATCAGGCGGGCCGTCAGTTTGCCATTCCAATTTTACAAAAAAAAAATCGATTACTTTGCACTATGTACATAAATTTAAAGATATTTATGAATATCCGCTAGCATGCTCTTTTTGGTGGGCATGGTAGGACGCCTTTGATTTGAAGCATTTCCCGCATACATTGCACTTTTTAAAAACCAAAGAGTCTTCAGGCTGAAACAATGGAAATATATATATGTTATCTATACATATAAATAAAATTGGAGTGTCTGTTTGTAATATTGAAATAACTTATTACTACATGTATATATAAATACGGTACATACACCAACATAACTTTTTTTACAATTTTTGTCTGTCTGTTTGTTTCGGCTAATCTCTGAAATGGCTGGACCGATTTTGACGGGACTTTTATTTACAGGTAGCGGATGTAATGAGTAACTGAGGCTACTTTTATGGCTACTGTTTCCTTTTACGACCCAATGAGCGCAGGAGTGATAGCAATATATCAATAAGTGATAGGAATGATAGCAACAGTGATAGTCTACCGTGACTCCGGATAGATGCCTGATAAGTCGTGGGATTAGAGAGTAAAAAAAAATTACCTTGTAACCGTGTGCATCCCTGAGATGTAAATGTACGCTCTTGCTGTCGTAGTACGTATCGCCGCATATGTTACAACTGAAAGTCGTCTGCGAGGACTTTGTATGGACCCTGTAATGGAGACAATCTTATATATAAAATTCTCATGTCATACTTTTCGTTCCCATACTCCTCCGAAACTTCTCATGAAATTTTGTGAGCGTATTGAGTAGGTCTGAGAATCGGCCAACATCTATTTTTCATTCCCCTAAATGTTAGGGGTAGTCCACCCCTAATTTTTTTTTTATTTTAAGGCAAAACAACGTTTGCTGGGACAGCTAGTATAAATATAACAATTGACTAACACTCGTCTAGTCCTAAGTCATAATTTTATATTTGTAATTAGTAAGGATTGAATGAGGATTAAATAATTTGAACATGGATGGATGGAAAAGGAGAGGACGCCCTAAAGAAAGGTAGATAATAGTTTTTATTCGTATCTAAGATACACACACATATAATTATAACATCATATGACAAGTACCTATAATATAACAATACAATAATAAACCTGCATGTGTATGCTACAGCAATACAAAAATGGTACATAGCTCAGTGTGGAGAATCACTCATGGAGCAAAACACAGCTATGTCCTCGAGGGTTAAATAATGTATTTTTTTTTATAGACTAAAATGAACTGAACAAAATAATGTGAAATAAATAAATAATAAAGGAACTTGGAAAGTAGGAATTACAGTTAGAGTACCAGGACTTTATAAATAGCAAGATACTATGATTTAATTTGATGAATAGGAATATAATAATTATAGTCTTGAAAGAAGTGAAAAATGTATTAGAATAGAATAGAATAGGAAATTTATTCGAATAAACTTACATTGAAGCACTTTTGAATAGTCAATACATTTATTTAATCTACCTCTCATTCGGCAAGCTGTCTCATCACAAGAAGAATGAGCAAGAAACTTGCCTGTTGCTCTTTTAAATAATTATTATTACTTTACATTTTTAAGTTTAAGTGTGTGAATACAAACCACCAATTAGCACTAATTCAATTAAATACTCAAATAGAAAAAATATTGAATATATAACCAACTGGTTAAACAATTAATAAGAGGAAATCAGTCATAGTATAAATGTATTTATGGAAAGGGAAACAATTAGAATCTTACTGTGCTCTGTCACCAGAACAACTTAGTTTTTGTTGCTGTAATAGGTGTGTTTTTATATGTTTTTCAAATGTATATTGAGATGTAATATTTCTGATGGGTGGTTTAGTTGCCTGGTAATGAAAGCTACAGTTTTGTGACATTGAAGCTTGTCGCTTGACCAATAGTAATATTGAAATAACTGTTTTTTACTACATGCATATAAATATATATATGGTGGTATATATACCAAAATACCTTGTTTTATAATTTTTGCCTGTCTGTCTGTCAGTAAGTTTGTTGCGGCTAATTTCTGAAATGGCTGGACCGATTTTGACGGGACATTTTTTGGCAGGTAGCTGAAGTTATAAGGAGTGACTTAGGCTATTTTTATTTTAGAAAAATAAAGGTAAATTCTACGCGGACGAAGTCGCGGGAACAGCTAGTTTTGTATATAAATTTAGGATTACCACACACAACCATCTCGGGATAATCATAATCAGACAGCATGTGCACTCCGCTCAGTGAAGCTGTAAAGGCCAGCTACGTCCAAGAGCATTAGAATGCTTCGAAAAAAAAAAATCACATGACGATGTGATGACGTGATACAAACACTCCTAAATACAAATGCACCATGCGAGGAATCGAACCCGTGACCATCGAGAGTAAAGCGGTGTGCTAAACCGCCGACCATCATCAATTTATTGATGGTACCATAAATTCAATAGAATGATACTTACTGTTCATGTATTTTTAATGTATTTATCTTGTTGAACACCTTTCCACAAACTTTGCATGCAAAGGATACTTTGTGGGACATCTTTTTATGATGGGCCAGTTGGTTTTCACTCCTGAAATCAAATTAAATATTAATGTAGCAGCACACGTCTCCAGCATTTGGTTTGCAGAGATTCAATTTGATAGATGGCTTAATAAGTATATATAATAAGAAAAAAAAAAAGAAGATAAGAAAAAACAGAAAGTTATCCATTTTTATACGACTTCATACTTATAAGGATGCTATAGATGTACCTAGTAATTAATAGCTGATTTGTACTTGTAGAATGTAATTGTTTGGCTGAAAGGAGATTTCCAGGGCCGTAAAATACTTAATAAAAAAAAAAAAGCAGCACACGTGAATACAGTGAATGTCTAAGACGTTAGATGTTGTTATGTATAAATGTAGGCAACCTCATTTTACTAAATCTAAATATATATAACTCAAATGTGACTGACGTAGTGATCTCTCAACGCACAGCCCAAACCACTGAACTGATCGGGATGAAATTTGGCATGCATGTAGATGTTATGACGTAGGCATCCGCTAAGAAAGGATTTTGATTAATTCTACCCCCAAGGGAATAAAATAGGGGACGAAAGTTTATATGAAACTTCGTCAATTTTAAACTGATCTGGCTGAGACTTTGCTTGCATAAAGCTACTATGACATAGCCATCCCCGAAGAAAGGATTTTGATAAATTCTACCCCTAAAGGGGTATATCACATACCCGCACACCCTTATTAACGTGAGGAAAGCCGCGAGCAAAAGCTAGTTGTATTATATAATTTTTAAAAAAAGAACACAGAACACTCTAATTTTAAATTTGTCATTCTGAGCTATGTCAATGGAGTGAAAATACAAAATCCTTTACATTAGTACAAAATATTTGTTTTATTTTCACAAGAACAAAAGGATAGTACAGTGAGTGAGACGGGAATACGAGTGCGCTCCTGCTCGTACCGAGTTTATAAATGTAAGCGAAACATACACCGTGGCCCAAATTAGAAGCTAATTGCGGAGAATAAAATCCACAATAAGGTTAAAAATAATTCAAGTAAAATTAGGATTTATTTACTTACTGTATTTACATCTATACAACATATAAATAAAATTGGAGTGTCTGTTTGTAATATTGAAATAACTGTTTTTTACTACATTTTTATGAATATAAATGTGGTACATATACTAAAATAACATTTTTTGCAAATTTTGTAACAGACAGACAGCTGTTTGTTCCAGATAATCTTTGATTTTGACAGGACTTTTTTGGCAGGTAGCTGATGTAATAACTAATAACATAGGCTACTTTTATTTTAGAAAAATAAAGTTAAATACCACGCGGACGAAGTCGCGGGAACAGCTTGTTGTAAATGTAAGCGAGGCGAATGGGTTGCGACGGCAAGCCTCGGCTCATTAGGACGGCCTGAGCCGACTGTAATCTCTTTTGTATGCTAATAAATAAATTTATCAATTAGAGTTCACTTACGTAAATTTTTTGTCGCACTTGTTGCAGGCATATCTACTAACTTGATTCTTGTTTTTCTTCCGAGTAGTACTTTCTAGAAATGTTTCCAGCATTGTATCTATCAATTTGTGTGTTGTTTCATCGTCAATATCGAAATTGTCAGGAAAATCATGCATTGATTCTGCATTTGTATATTCATCATTATCTCTTAGTTGATTCTTAGCTTTGTGAATATTATCAGATTTCTCTTTGTGTATCGAGGTATTCTGTGCTTCAGGTTTGCCTTCAGAATCTTCAGCATATTCATAAAAATCATATGTGTCCACGTTATTATTATCCTTCTCTAATTTAACCATAACTTTTGCAAGATCTTCATTGTCTTCATCTTCAAAATCACTAAATTCAGTCTTAGTTTCTGATTTCACATTTGATTTAGAATCTGTATTATTTACATCCTTTATCACAATCTTACTGGATTCATCTTCTACGTAATCCTTTTTTTTATTATCTACCTTAACTTCCCATTTCAAAGTTGATAATCCTTCGATTACATTCTAAAATAAAATTTTAAGCTATTTAATTCTCACTTTTATATGCATTGTTAACAATGGGCTCAGTGCTCACTCAATTAGACAAAACAAGGGCTAAGTGGTCTAGCGAATTAGCACACTAAGGTAGTGCGCTAATTTGCTAGACCACTGAGCCCTGAGCTTCTAATGATCGCGGGTTTGATTCAGAATATGTGTGCTGTTATAAAATCAATATCCATAAAATATGCTACTCATTATTTTACAGTTTCTAATATTGCAAAAATTCTAAAATTAACTGACACACACTTACACATTGAATATTTAGGTTAGGTTAGGTAGTTAGGAGCATGAAACTAATAGTGAGGTAGTTCTAGAGAAGAGGTACAAAACAAAAAAAATCTTATGGCTGTTGTTGCAATTATATATGTTTAATTGAGGCCTTTTGTAACTGTAGGTAAATTCCCCTACAAGTAAATGCTGAGACTAAATGTAATAGCATTTATTAATTTATTGACTAAATTGTCCTGGGTAAATAGTAACTAGCTACTCGCCCCGGCTTTGCACAGGTGTTCAAGTATTATATATATAAACTTTCCCCTTGAATCACTTTATCTATTAAAAAAAAACTGCTTCAAAATCCATTGCATAGCTTTAAAGATTTAAGCATACATAGGGATGGACAGACAGATACTTTGTTTTATATTATTTATATTATTTAGTCTAATTAAACTACAATATAAGTGTAAACTGGGACTGGGAAGAAGCAGATGATGATGAAGATGAAAAGTTTAAACTCACCACTTTTCCACTCAATACATTTTGCATTATTGTCTGTGCCTGCAAAGCTCTCTGCTGGAAGTTCACAAATTTGACAATTATAGCTTTGCATTCCCAGCACACTTTGTCCTCTGCCAGATCAAACTGTAAGAAAATTTCATATTTCCTTTATTAACCAATGCAAAAAAATCTTCTTTACATGGCAAATCATGACATACATATATTTATTTTTACTATTTTTTATTGGGTTGTTTGGGCTATTGTCAGATACTACTGAACCAATCACTCATAAAATTTTGTACACATCTTTTTGGATTATATTATTGCTGGATAAATCAGGGAAAAATATATATATATATAAATAAAAAGAGTTAAATTTTTTATTCCCGGGAAAATGTTTTCCAAGGATCTCAATTGGAATCAATCAAAATATCTTTATTCATGTAGGCTACAACCACATAGGATGTGTAGTCGTTTCCTCTTCAGTTTCAGAATCTGCAGATTTCAATTTGCCTATGTTGTTTTTACTCAGAAGAACTGTGTTATTGGGTCATTTGTTGATGTTGCCCATGGCAAGCCAAGCAGTGTATCTTTACTAATATTGTAAATGTGACAGCAGGGATGTTTGTTACAATATGTACATAAAAATATTGAACTTATATCATAAAATTTTGTAATGTTCTTGGATTATATGATCCCGGATGGGGAACAAAAAAATATATATATAAATAAAGATAAAATTGATAAGAATAGTTAAATATTTTTGGAATTTTTACAGACATTATTAATCAATTATTATTTCTTTATACTGTAGGTCTATCAAACTTAAAAGAAAATCATATTCTCTTCAATTTGAGTGCTTTAGATGTGAGAAATACAAGTTCATGTTTATTTTTTAAATTTGGAAGAACAGATGTGTATTACAGATGATAATACTGACAATTTGTCAAAAAATATTGATCTTATATACTAAATGATAATAGGAAAATGTGAGGTTGACACAGTTTTAGATCCGTTCAGTGCTTAGTATGAGCATATTCATTGTCTTACAGACATTATTAAGTGCAATTATTATTTCTATGTAACTGTGATCCCATAAACTGAAAAGAAACTCATCCCATATTCTCTTCAAATGAGCTTGTCATGTACAGAAATACAAGTTGATGTTTAGGTTTAAATTTGGAAGAACAGTGTCCACCAGGTATGCTATAGCAATTTTGTCAAAGGAAATAGTGTAACCTGTGTCTGTAACTTGAACAGACCAGTTCCCACAAGTAGCATCCGTTCATGAGTATGAGGAATGAGCATCATCATTGTACTCAACCATATTAGACGGAGCACTTTGACCCGGCTCATCACGTCGCCACAAATTTTGAAGTTTATAGCAAGTATGACTGTTTTAATTTACTAAACTATGTCATCTATATCATAGGCGGAAACAATCACAGTTTTTACCTATATATATAAATAAAAATACAAATCTCATTTTAAAGAAATAACATTTAGGTTGCCTATGACATTGGCCTGAGGCAACCTAAATGTTATTTTTGTTTAATATGTCAATTTAGCATAAAAATATATTGGCGATACACAGTACATCTTGTTTTATAAAATATTGAATGGAAATTTAAAAAAATATTTACCTGAAATTCTGGAAGCAGCGCTGCTTCTAAATCTGAATCAAGATAAAAAACATTGCGGTCACTACTTAGGCAAGTTACACAAACGATGCTTTTTAAATATAATTTCATTTCCTCCATTGCGAATAAATATGGAAATTTTAAGTTTTAAAAGGACAACACGTGTTAAATCGTAGATTTAAATTTATATGTATACAACGGAAGGAAGAATCATGAACATTAATCGTTGACGCGGTTAGTGATGAGGATATTCAACGTTCGATGTTTAATAGTAAATATCGATATTAAGTCCTCGATATCGATACCATCGAAAAATGAAGTAGAACCTAAAAAGTGGAAGTCAGTAATAAAGAAACACTTGTGGGGTAAAAAACAATTCTATTTATTAGCAAATCAAAATTAATAGGAACACTCATAAGCTAAGGGGAATCGATGTTACATCGATGTTTTAATTGATGTTTTCTAATTACGCATTCCTAGATGCAAATTTTTTTTTCCGCGTTAATTGGCTTTGGATGTTATATTCAGGATTAGTTGAAAATGCTAAAACCAGTGCAGAATGAAAGGTCAACTTTTTCCATAGAATACATATATATAATGTATCGTTCATCAATCCTTTAGGGAAAAGCGATTGACTTTTTCCGGGCATGTGTGGAAACCATTATTTTTGCCATGGCGAGCAGCGCTGACTTAATTTCATTCTTATTATTAATGAAACGCTGTTGTAGCGTGTAAAAACCAAAGCACTTAACCAAAAAAGACAAACCACATAAAAAAAGACATAAAATTTGACAATATTACTCTGTATGTATGGCATTGACGTATGACGACTGTCACTGTGTGACAATCTTTTTTATCTGTACTCTTGAAACACATTGTCGTCCGTCGTCTTTTGTTCGCGTGTTTTTTTATTTTATAATTATACGAATTTTCATGCTATACAAGGCGTTGAATATTACGAAATAAATCATATTTCGTTATATCATGTATAAAATGTGGGTATTTGTACCGTATACAACACTTCTGCATTTAATGCATTTTGTTTCATCGCCATTGACGAACACAGGTAACAGTTATAGCTTGTTCGACGCAGATTGAGTAGGAATTTGTTGTATAAAATACGCATATGTTGTTAGCTCAGCTATATGTAGTTTAGGTCGTTATCACTTTTTGATATTTGTTGTGAACATTCATTCTGAAGGTAGTATTTCTTATGAAATACAAGTTTTCTTTTCCTCTACAGTAATGTATGATACTGGATTATATAATTTTAATAATAATGGTTAAAAACGGTTTTGTTATATTAATGGACGTACTTTTTCTTTTCTTCCATTATTTTTTTAAAAATGGAACAGGCAATGGTCTTTTGACCGTACAGTCTAGTATTTTTGTAGTTCTGGTCTGAGGTAATTAGCCATAAATATGAGACTTGTAAAATTTTGTTACTTCTACATTGTTAGAACAAATATAAGAATATGGTCTTATATTTGTTCTAACAATGTAGAAGTTGTTGTAAAAGAGGTGTAAGGGTAACAATATATGATTTAGGGTTTGACTGTATATTACACTGTGTACATGTATTGAATACTTTAATTTTCATTTGGCATAAATGATAGATTCAAATTTACATGACCAAAATGAAGTGTAAGTATTTTGTAGATTTTCTGGCTTCTATAGATTATAGTTTGAATGAATTCATATTTTTGTTAAAAGGATGTCTGTAATAGTCAGTAATTTTTTTTATTATATTCATTTAGGAAAAGGCAAAGGGACTAAGCACAGATGTTGGCTTTTGTGATAATTTTCATACTTCTTTGATTTCCTTGTCATAACAAAGATTTTTAAAAATTGTTTACTGTTATGATAAAGGCAAAGGCAGTCTGTCTGTCATATATATTTAATTTTTTAAGAAATTCACAAAAAAGTCTTTAGAAATAGTGTTGAAAAAATAAAATATTGAAAATTTTACAAGATTGTTGAAAATGATAGGCGATGTTCGAATTTGAATTCTTGTAAATGATATGATGAGGGTTAAACAAAAAAAAAAAAAATTAAACAATCTATAATAAATGACTAACAAATATATTTTGTGAAATCACGGTTCAGTAATGTTGAAGTTATTAGAGCAGAATGTCCTGTGGCCAAAGGAATTGAATTTATTAGAAGGATTTACTCAAACATCAAGCAGTCAAGTTTTTTTTTTTGGTTCTGTTTTTCCCTTCAGGGAAAGGCAGAAGGATTTAGATCCATACAGCCATTGTCCTCAGTAGAGACAAGTCCAAGTACAAGAAGTAAGTTTATGGCATTGAAGTGGTTCTAAAATATTTTTCTGGTTTTAAATTGTACTTTGAGGGTCTTTAAAATATTGAATACCTCCTTATCAACTAATAAAGTCCAATGAAATGAATATGCTTGGTAACTTCCCAATTTCGCAATTTATTCCCAATTTACGAGTTTTAGAATAAGGTAGGATGGGGCACAAAGGTCTAATTTGACTATTAATCATTTTACTGCAACCCCATAATAGGAGTAAAAACGCAGCCAGGGGGAAAATGTCCAATATTTTATTTTATAAAGGTTTTATGAAGTAATAACTACATTCTCTAATCAATGCAATGCAGTTTAATTAATAGGTAACCTATCTCAGTTGAACAACACAAACAGTAGGGAATATTAAACTTAAATCCATTAGTAGTTAATCTATCAGTTAAGTAGTCTGGATTGCATCTTTGGTTCTGGCGAAAATTAAGAATGATGGGAGAAATGAACTCCCATCTATCTATTTAGGAAAATCAATAACTAGCAATACTCGAGAATAATATACTTACAATGAGGCCTCATTTTCATACCCCCAAAGGAGAAGAGTCGCTCCACAGGGCAGGGCAAATAAGTGTTATATTTTAGGAATATTTTTTTAATTGTAGGATAAGCATTCAAACTCGTAAGTTTTTATCTTTATTGTTGAGATACTGGAGTGTCTTAAATCACTGGTGCTGCTCGTGTTTTCGCCACTAGAAATAGAGGAATCGGAGTCCTCTAGAAACATATAAGTCATAAGAGTCACATCAACTGATCTTGTTTCAGACAGGACATGTTCTTTTACATATTCCTTTCGCGCTTTTGGGTACATTCCTTTCGCACATTTGGGAACCAAAAAAGAAAACTGTGAAGTTCATTTTAGTAAAAGTATCTTAGGGAACAAAGTACAGGCAGTCCTCGTACTTACGGCATGTTAGGTTCTCGAAATACGCGACGTAAATCGAAACGACGTAAGTCGAGACATATTTTTTCATATGTTTACATGTAAAACTCAAGGGTTAGGTTCCACACGGACTCGAAATAATAAAAAAAACTGCATTTATAACAAAGGACGTACTTTATTATTAAAAGTAAGTTCTTAAAATAATTATATATTATGCACTTATGAAATTGCTAGTTATT